TTGTTGTCCATCCGCGACAAGGGTGTCATTTTGAACCAAATTCCACATCATTTATATGGTCGGTGCTATTGTTCTCGTGCTTATGCTTTTGCTTGTTTTGTCAAATGTAGATACTCGGTCAGTCATCCGTGGGAGGTGCGAAAGACAGGGTGCCCTAGAATTGTTAGAATCGGGGGGGGGGGGGGGGGTTTCCGAGTGTTATTTCTTTGTTGCTGCTTCGTTTCTAATCAACCAATCTCTCATTTACATGACACAGCATTGTTCATCATGCTGCTGTGCAGCTGGGGCTGCGGGATGACTTCAAGCTTTTTTTCCGCTTTTAAAGGCTTGTTCGGCAGCCTGCTTCTATTGCCTCCCATCATCCACATGGTAAAGGCTCCCGGGTTGGGGTCCCGGGGACGTGGTTTCTTAGGGCCGGGAGGCGGCGGTGGCAGTTGTCCATCCGCTGGAAGTTGAGGAGCGTCAACAAGTGGACCTGGAAATGGTGGCAGACCCGAAGCCATGAAGACCTCGACATCTGGTGGAGGCTGTGGTATAGGTGGTGGTGGTGGTGGAGGAGGAGGAGCAGGAGCATGAGGAGGGGGCGCACCTAGAGCCTTTAGATCCATAATGGTAACCAGATTGGGGTCATCCTCTAGTACCTCAGGTGGATCCGGGTTCTTCGGCTTCTTCGACTTCTTAGGCTCCGGAACAGGCCACATGTGCATAGTGATGGCCCAATCCGGTTCTATTACAGTCTCCCAAACTTGTGGGAGGATGATGTCGTTGTTGGGGCCAACTAGATCATATTTGCCCTCCGCGACATGCTGCTCAAGTATGTCAACGTGGAGGAATGCTTGCCGGATCAACTCCTCCATACCCTAGAATTTTACAAAGAACATATTAGGTGCTATCTTTAAAGCATGGGCTGATCTAAGCAAGGCGTCTAGTGTGTCATAAGATCAAAAGGGAAATAAAACTTACTGGCCATGTATTACACAAATGGAAAGGAAAACTAAATTTCCTTCCAATAGCATCTTTGAACTTGACCGGCTTTTTCTTCTCAGTACTCGGCGCTCGGGCTGCGGCTGTCGCAGCCGCAACAGCCTCAGCAGTCTTTACTGCTGCCTCGGCGGTAGCTTTCTCCGTTGCTTCTGCAGCCGCTGCAGCAGCGGCTTCTTCTGCGGCTATTTTCGCTTTGGCAGCCTCTTCTGCGGCTTTTATTTCGGCCTCTTTCATGGCTTCCTCTCTAGCGATTTTGCTTGCCTTGGCTGCAGCTTCTTCTGCGATTTTTTTCTCAATGGCCGCGCGCTCTTCTGCAAGAGCCTTGTCACGAGCAGCCTTCTCGATAGCAGCTTCACGAGCGAGTTCTTTGGCTTCTCGTTCCATTCGTTCCTCGAGAATGAGTTTTTCCAGCCGTGCGATCGCTTCATCTTTGGGATCCGGTTGGGGTGGAGCAGGGGGTGGTGGGGGAGTGGGTTCTTTTGGTGGTGGTGACGGTTGGCGTTGAAATTGCTGGAAGAAATGTGGCGGGGGCATGCCATGGGGCAGAGGAGGAAACTGATGGCCGTAAGGGGGAAAGTAAGCAGGGCCTCCGTGTGGGCCTCCGTGTGGAGCTCCATGTAGGCCGCTGGGGGGTATGCCGTAAGGAACCATATCCACAGGGCTAAATTGAGGGGGCGGGAATGGAGGGTGGTGATGACCAGGCACCGGGTGGGCATGTGGAGGTCTGGGGGAAGGGCTTTCACTTTCATCCCGTGGAGGCGGTGGAGGACGAGATTGGCTCCGCGTACGGCGATGGTGGTGAACATGATGTCGTTGACGGGGGACAGGCTGATGGTGCATTGGGTGTTCATGGCCGTTGAAGAAAGGAGGTGGCATCTGGTGATTTTGTACTTGCGGATGTGGTGAAAACGGAGGTGGCCCGTATGGGTAATGGTGCTGCTGGCCGGGGGGGTAGTGGCCCATATGTGCATTCATACCTCCCATATGGCCCATGTGTCCCAACTGTACTAACTGATTCGACGGCATCCCTGGATGCCCGCCGTGGGTTGGCTGCATAACTCCGTGTGGCATAGTCCCTTGCTGAGGATATGGATTGTATGATGGTGCAGAGGCGGAACTGCGGGCATACCCTCCTGGAGGAGGAGGATGAGGAGCATGCGAAGCCCAATATTGCCTTTCAGGCGGACGTCGAGGCGGCGGATAATCGTACTCGTCAGCAGAGTCAACACTTTCTGTAGGTGAGGCGGGTGCCGGGGGGTGATGGTGCCTCCTCGGCCGATGCGCTACTACTGGCTCACGTTCCTGTGGTATATGTCGGCGAGATGAATGGCGGCGACTGGGCCCTGATCTACTGTTATCCAGATTGCGATGGCGGTTTGAAGTTCTTGCTCTGGAAGCAGAATCGGAAGGTTTTAGTTCATCGGGATAGCTTAAATGGGCCCAATCACCGCCCACATCATAGTGATCATAATGGTCGTGACTGCTGGTTGCTGAGGGCGGGGAGACTTGGACGCCAGTGCCGGAGGAACCGTCTTCGTCGTCGGTCAAGGAGGAATGATCGGAGCCATGGGAGGTAGCGTGATCTATTGTGATGTTTAACCTAGAGAGAGTCGAAGGAAATAAATATAAGCGAGGCCCTTACCCATGAAGTTGTTTTGTTTTCGTTTTCTTTTGGCTGAAACTCTATTTTTCTGCTGGGATTATCAAGGGAAAAAAGCAGGAGAGTAGAAAACAAGAGGGGAGTTGTCGCAACCGCAAAAGATTAAACTACAGTACATAGGCGCTAAGGGCTAAACTGAAGTGCCAGGGAAGATCATAATTGTACGGATAAACAGGGCATGAAAGGACGACAAGAAAAGGCGAACCAAGCACTAGCAACAAAAAAATAACAACACAAAAGGCAACTCACGGCATGTGGATTTGGACGGAAAGCAGGAAATATCTCGTCCGAGCTTTTCCTCACCGAGAAAAGGCCTGGACTAGATAAATCTCTGTGGGACAAGGGCGGCGGGAAAAGGTGGGCTTTTGGCCGTTTTCTGTAACAGCGAGGTCTGGGGGAGAGGGGTTCTGGGCACCAGCGGCGCCTACAGGGGGGGGACTGGACTGCGAGATCAGCGTTTCAGGGAACCCGGAAATACGATATATATCTGTGCCTTTGTGCAAGCCAAAGACTTCCAAGAAAGCCCAGACTGCGGCAAATCGACCAGATCGACGTGTTAGAAGAGTGCGAATCGAGATCTAGGCAGGTTGGGCGAGAAAGGGGAGAGACTGCTGGAATCTATAAAGAATATATCGATCGAAGCGAGAATTTGGGATCAGCGAACCCGCGGCCAGAAAATTAAATGGCGCAATATAATAATTCTGTAACAATGATTTTTCGGTTTCAGGTAGCAACTGCAATAGCATATACGGTCACAAGTAATAATAGCAATAATAATAGTGGCAATAATAGTAAATAATAGTCATAACAAGGAACAGATAGAATACAGGCACATCCTTCAGAACGGAGGGGGTTGTCGCGATCATAAAATGGATAGTAGTTGTACACGCATTGCACAAAAGCAAGGGGCGGGGGAAAAAAGGGAAAATCAGGAACATAAAATAAAAATAAAACAACAGGAGTTAGAGTTATTTTATATTTATATTTGTGCTAGAAAAATAAGGAATTGGGCTGCAGATGACGACCGATGCAGCTGGTGGGGTTGGAAATAGAAAGAAAAGCGACCACACAGCGGCTGGTGTCTAGTTGGTGCCCAATCTGCTTGAAGCATGTAGAGACGCAAAATCACAGCCTTGACGGGGGGTGGGGAACGGAAAACCAGATCTCAGCGTATTATTATTACAGAGAGATCGAACCCAACAGAAGACCAGGAATGATATGTGAAGAAGAAGCGCGGAGTAGAGTATGGTATGGCATTTGCCCCTTAATGGACTTACCTGATGGCGTCACCAATATTGCTCGCAGCAGTGTTCGCTAGTCGCGGATCCCGAAGGTTTGGCTTAGGAGTAGCTAGCGGGGAAGAATTATTATTGTTTTATCCCAGAATTCGTTGAAGAAGAGCTGGTGGAGCCAGCAGGGATAAGTGGTAGTTCAAATGATCTCCCATTAGAGTCAATGGAATATATATATAAACCATCGAGAAGGTAGAGTAGTTGTATAAATCATCGGTAACTAGGGGGTTATGAGCAAAAGTAAAAAAAAAAAAAAAACAACCGAGAAAAAGGGGAAAAAGTGACTGCAAGCGGGGAAATGGGAAAAATTATACTCAGAAAATAACAAGAGGATATCCCGATCTCCCATTTTAGTACTTCGTAGTATTTACTAGCACCGCAGGGAGAATAATAATAGTTAGCCAACCAACTGCGCAGACACTGCAGATAAACGCGGGCTGGTAATTGGCCAGCGAGGCGTCGTCGCAGAGCCTAGCCAGGGCTAATCGCTGAAATCCAGCTCATGAAAATCTCGAGGTGTTGCACTGATGAGGCTTGTGGAAATGGCTTAGATTTTATTCCCTGGCGCGTTCTGTGAGGCTGTCTGTGTCTGCATCTGCATCCAGTGCCTGATGAGATATGTAGGGTATCGAATAGCCCGATAACCAACCGTTCCGTGGTTTTAAATAAAATGGGGAGAAAAGGAGAAAAGGAGAAACCCCATTGAGATCTAGACTCAGCATCAGTAACGTAAAGAGAACAACGTCCTTGTGCTTGAGAGCAGTTTCAGCCAGGAGGGATTCTCAACTCAACTGCGTAACGTAAGTTAACGTGGTGGTTCCTTTTTTATATGTCTGGCTTCCCGCAAAATCCATCCGCAATCCAGCGCCTTTGTTGGGCGATATTGACTTACTAACTACGCGTTAGTTACTGCAGAAAATCAGTAGCCTGCTGCGGGCTAACTTACATGTCGTCATCCTCTTTCTGCTGATGTGAGTAGTGGCCTTCGCCGGGAAGAACGAGAAGTCCAGCAGCAGCTTTGAGGACGACGTTGTGTTGTTGGCCTGAGGAATGTACTAATAATAGTGTATGTACTGTAACTACGTTACATGTAATAATAATGTACATACATACATACATGTACCTCCCGCTTCACTTTGAGGTTCCGTTCTCACTGGTAGCTGCGTGGCCGGTGACTTGCGGGGTACATCCGATATACCGCGCACTTTGCAATTTTAACTTATTTTGACACTGTTTGTGGGAGGTAAAATGCAACATTGCCCTTTCAAAGCCATATCTATCCTTTATGCACAAAGAGCAGGTCGTTTTTTTAGAAATCCCCCTTACTGTCTCCTCCCTCCACGTAGTTGTCTCGAGCATAAATGGGAGAAGGCAACTAATTGACCGGACCACGGTGGGACCTGAGATGAGGCAAACAGTGCGTTGTATTGTCATCGCATTGTTAACCAACCCTAATGCTTCCGCTGTGGCTTGCTAGTTGACAGATATTGGTTCCTTTTTCTTTTTCTTCCTTCGTGAGACGATGTTTGTGCCACGCTGATGATTATTAGCACGGAAATCCCACTCGTTTAAAAGGGAGATTTTAATGTGTAATAATATATTCATCCACTGCTGCAGATCTTCTGCATCTAAATAAGAGGAAGCTCTGAGTTTGGGAATTTAGTTAAAAAGGAATATAAAATAATAGAAAGATCGTCAAAGAACAGACCCAGATCCCCCGTCTGTTGGAAGTCCGGTCATACAACGGGCGCTCTCCCTCCACCCAACGAGGCTCGGGCCTTTTCAATATTTAAATCGCCCCTCTTCCTGTCTTCCTTAGTCCTTCCAGACCTCAGGCGCTCCACTTCACGCGTAGTAGTTAAACCGACTTGTCATCGCTCAAACCTTTTCGTCAGAAACATCAAAGTTATCCTAAATAAGCCTCCTACATTAAATCGTACTTACCGCAGGATATCGTACACCCACTCCGCTCTCTGCCGTGCCTAGCCCATCCCAGATCGCAAGGAGTCAATCACGTACAGACACACATGCGGTACGCTGACAGCTCGCTAGATAGTACAGTGAGAACGAATGGGAAATGAAGAAATGATGATGGACAATGTGGTTTTATTTCCTTTCTTCCCTTATCATCATTGCCCAAAAGGCGTCTGGCTGCCCAGAGTTAGGGTCAGAGCCGGCCTATAGCATGATTAATCAAAACATAGACTCAGGCAGGAATCTCTGGCCGGCCGGATCCCAAGAGATAAGCGGACAGGGAGTCAGCCCAACGGCCAAAAGGCTGAGGGGACGCAGTCTAATGGTGAGAGTTGTCGAATGAATGGGATAGACTTTGGCCGCTATCGTAAATTGTCATAGCAGGGTGATGCGGTGGGTGTCCTTTGTCATTTGTTCTCGCTAGACCCGGGGGAGGAGGACGAAGAGAAGCCATGTCTCTGTACGTATGAGTGCATACAAGCACAGATGCAACGGGAAGATTGATAAGTAAATGCTAAACGATGTCTTAAGTCTCTGAGAATGAAAAGTGAATGAGTGAGAATCTGATAGCGAATCCTGTCGTCCGGTCCAGCGGCGTCCGGCGGAGTCCAGTGCGGTACCGAGAGGGTTATCCATGGCAGAAAATCACCCCAGGGTCAGATATATCATGAAATATACCAAAGCCCAAAATGGGTCAACAAGTCTGCTGTTTTCAAGGCCGGTTGTCGAGCCAATTTTCCGGCAAAGACCGAAATCGAAGGTTGAAATCGAATCCGAGTTCGACAAACAGAAACGAGACTAATTGATAAGACAAGGTCCGCCCAACTGCCTAGTTCCCGGAGACATCATATTCAGCAGAAATTGACACAAAACGCGCGGAGTATCGTTCTCCGAAATTTTTGAGTTTGGAATGTAGATTTAGTTACCCCTTCATTGAACGATCTGCTCCAGAGCCCGCACCCCAATAACAATCGCTAGCTAGCGCAGACCAACCTGGTAATCTGCCCCAATTGCGAACAAATTAAACAATTCATCCATCCCGAGTCAAGCAGTGGATTGGGTGGCTTGCATCATCCATCACCTTCTCCGTCAAATCATCCATTAGCAGTCGACGCGGTATGTGAGAAGCGGTGAGGAAAGCGAGAAGGAAGCATGGCAGTCGATGAATATACTCTCTTTTTAAAAAAGAATGTAACCAATCGACCAAACCAATCCTTTTATCATGCACTTACATTCATGCGCATCATAAGTCCCCTGAGACCCTCCTGAATTTAGCATATTTGGAGCTACAGTCGAAAGCCCCGCTTGGTTCCCTTGTTACCGTCCTTGTGCTTCCTTGGTCCTCTGTTCCACATGGGAGGAGGCGGGAGGAAAATTGGCAGCTAGAGGAAGCAAAAGTAGAATGTCAAACTGCTTGGTGCCACGTCTTCCTTCCTGCCCAATCCAGGCGCACTAGTCGTAAGGCATCTCTCTTGAAGAGCCAATGGAAGGGAGGACCTCAGTATCGAAACATAACAATCCGATATGTATCAGGTAGACAAACGTTATGAAGTTATTACGTGAACTGTCAGCAGCTGGGTTGCGTTGGAAATAGTGGCTGAATGACAAGATAACTGCGAATAAAATAAAATAAAATAATCCAAGATGAAATAAAAATACAAATGTAAATTCAACGCGCTTGCCTTCGTTCAACGCGTTTGATAAATATAACTGTAGATAACATGAAAGAACAAGGCAAGAGAAGAAAGGTTGAACAGGCATTAAAAGTATGACGTTATATTGGTACACTTTCGTCGGCTTTCGCGCGTTGGTTCTTAATGAACAGGGATCTAGAATATCTGTCGTGTTCCGATGCTTCCAGTTAATTTAATCGTCGGCAAGTGAATCATTATCCTTTCGGGCCGCAGCGGGTGGAAGGTGGGTATTGGCAGCTGGATCATGTCAAGGATCATAACAGTTCAAGGGTATGGATAGGTCCAACTTCGCGAGGCTTTCATTCATATCTAGCATGCGGCTGAGATGCCGGGTGGAAAGAATAGTGGAAAGATGAAAAAGGATACGGTGTAGGCCACACCCACCGCTACCTTTTCCCCTTACTTATCCTCCCGATCAAGCAATTCTTGGGCAGCAATTAGCTCGCTCTGGTTCCTCTCCCAACTTTTGATATCGGCCGACCTCGATTGTACGATCTCGCGTAGTTTTCTGGTCGATAGCGCTTGTAGCTTCGTGAGTGTCTCTTGCGTGGGCAGGCCAACATCAATATTTTTCGTTTGCGTAGCGGACTTTGCCGATTGTTTATCCAAAAGGCGGGTGGTACTCTGGCGGGTATGGATCAGCATGGTAGGGACGATGCTTAAATAAAAAAAGAATCCATACCAATTTAAGTCCGTAATAGCCACGAAGATAATCATCACACAGCTCAATACTTCGACAAAACCGGCGTACGGAATCGGCCAGGAGTTTCAGGGTCGTCTCTTGGTTGTCCGATGAAGTCGATGCGATGTACTCCACTTCGCCTAGCCTTGCATGGAGCTGGATAGAGACGGGTTAGTTACCGCGCTGTCAGGTCTCGTTCGTTCACAACTGAAAAGACAATGTCTTAGTCTTACGTTCCACGCATTTGGTACTACCAAAAGGGCTTCCTCCAAACAAAATATAGCCTGCATGTCCATTCCCTGGGTTTGGTATAGATCGGCAAGTTCACACCACGCCTCTGCGTCCGTGGGGAATACATCGAGGAAATCTACTAGAGCGGATATAGCATCCGCTGACCGCGACATAGATCGTAGGAGGGCAATTCGCCGTTTCAAAATTGGCTACCTCTAGATATCAGTTTCACTGCTCGAGGCATCGCACAATCGGAGTAATGGAAGTACACGAACCACATTCACTGGGTTCTCGCCAAGCACTTTTTCGTAACCTGTAAGGATTTCTTCGAGGGCATCTTGGTCTTTCGCAAGTGCTTCCTCGTAGACGCCTTTCAGTGCCATGATGCGTTCATTGGCGGGTCCAAAGCGTTTTGATAGCCGTTCCAAGCATTGGCGCGCGGATTCATCATCACGTATCCTCAAGCAAGCCAGAAGCAATTGTTCGTAAGTTAACCATAATTCAGGTGTCTCTGCAGTCGCAAACACGGAAAAGGGAAAGGAAGGCTGTTGCACAGGATGGCTTTTTAGGAATGATTGGGTTTGTTGTGATAGACGAAGGACAGCACGCGGATCAGGGGAGTTCAACGCCATTTGCAAATCCAGCGGTAGCGATGAGGTCATTATGGCTGTCTGAGGGATTGGGTCGTTAGTCTATAGTAATTCTATCATGATTGACTGATGTAATATAGCTTGGTGGCTGTTTGGGTTGAGTAGAGCTCGTTACTTACCCAAAGGGATATCCGCTCTCTGGTTGTATGTAATGTACATGTACAAGTCTAGATGCGAAGTGATGTACAGAGTAACAAATGCAGCATTGGCTCGATAACATCACAATAGGTAATATCTTCGAAGATAGGAAAGGTCCTCGGAAGAACGAGGGTATTTGATGAGGCGTTGTCGAGACCAGGAAGATGAGGTTGAAGTTGAGGTTAAGATGCGGGCGGGCGTCCGACGACCCTGGTTCTTACTAACCAACCCTGTGATGTGATGTGATGTGACGTCTCCGACTAGTTATTTACTAGGTTAACTAACTGACCCTCCCTCACCATCAACCACTACGGCTACAACCTAGCACATACCCGGATCACAGCTTCAGCAACGTGCAGAGAGTTCTGTTTGGGTTACTGGCATATAACGAATCTTGATATTCTTCAAACCCCGATTTACCTTGGTTTTGGCGGATTTGTCCTCTACAGAGACATACAGGCTTGAATCATGTCACTCCACTCACATCCCACCTCGAAGATTCGATAGCGGCGCTCCAGGCACCACACACCTACAATATAGAGCGGAGTGCTAGATCTTTAGACTCTGTATTCCGAAGTGATTTTTTCAAGTTCAGGCGGTTTATATCTTCCAACTAACTACCATGTCTGATAGCTTCCCCCACCCCCCCCGGTCAAATGATGCCATAGAGAACCCTTAAAACTAACATTTCATGCAATGTCATAGGTTCGAGAAATCACTTTACGACCTCATTCGAGGTCTGCGGAATCACAAGGGGAATGAGGTAGAATATATTCAAAACAGCATTAAGGAATGCCGGGTTGAGGTGAAGTCGCAGGACATGGGTTTGTTGCCTCATCAGCTATCAACCGAAGCGAGCATCAGGATTGACTGTTTCCAAAAGATAAAAAGGCAACCGCTCTCCTGAAATTAATATACCTGGAAATGTTCGGATATGATATGTCTTGGGCTGCATTCCACGTGCTTGAAGTCATGTCATCGGCGAAATATCCACAGAAGCGCGTCGGCTACCTAGGAGCCGTGCAGAGTTTCCGCCCAGATACAGAAGTTCTCATGTTAGCTACCAATCTATTGAAGAAGGTAGGTAAAGGACATTTACGATGTACCTTTAGTAAAGAGGAACATATGTCTGACGTTATTCATTATTTAGGATATGGTCTCTCCTCTGGTTCCGACGATGTCATTACCCCTCCTCACGCTACCCCATATAATTTCTCCCTCCCTAGCTCTATCTTTGTTGACAGATGTGCTACCCCGTCTGTCCCATTCCCATCCTGCCGTTCGAAAGAAAGCGGTGGTTAACCTCTACCGGCTTTCCCTGGTCTATCCAGAAGCTTTTCGGATTGCTTGGCCAAAAATCAAAGAGCGCTTGATGGATGAGCAAGAGGATAGCAGTGTTACCGCAGCTGTCATCAATGTTGTCTGTGAATTGGGCTGGAGACGTCCCCAAGACTTCCTTCCCCTGGCTCCGCGACTATTTGACCTTTTGGTTGATGGTGGGAATAATTGGATGGCCATCAAAATTATCAAACTGGTAGGCTTTACCCGCTCCGCTCGCGGTTTCGCACCATGGACGCTGCAGCTAACTCTAGACCCTAGTTTGCAACATTGACACCTCTGGAGCCACGGTTAGTTCGAAAGCTCCTCCGACCTTTGACTAATATCATTCAAACGACGACAGCGATGTCTTTGCTTTACGAATGTATAAATGGGGTAATCCAAGGTGGCATCCTAGATGGCGCTGAAGGTGTGCGGGAAGGAGAGGAGATCGCTAATCTCTGCGTGGAGAAACTTCGAGGCATGATTGTCATGGAAGGCGATCCCAATTGTAAGATTGATTTCCGTTCTAGAAAAGTATACTATATCTAACCATTTGTAGTAAAATACGTCGCACTTCTTGCATTTAACAGGATTGTGGCCTCGCACCCAACGTTGGTTGCCATGCAGCAAGATGTCATCATGGACTGTTTAGATGACAATGATATTTCCATCCGGTTGCAGGCGCTCGAACTCGTTTCTGGCATGGTGTCCAGTGATTCCTTACACGCAGTTGTCTCCAGGCTAATCACCCAACTCCAAATGTCCCCAGCACCAACGGATGATGTACAGGTTATTTCTACCATACCTGCTGTGTTAACTCCCTCGGCCGATATCGACGGAGACGATCCAGAGGAGCAGCTGCAGTCAACCAACAAGAGAAATGAATCCGTACTTGCCCTACCCAACCACTACCGCAACGAAGTCCTTCACCGAATACTAGATATCTGTTCACGTGATACATATTCATCGATTGTAGACTTCGAATGGTACGTTGACGTTCTTGTCCAGTTGGTTCGCCTTGTGCCACCACCAACCGGTACAGACTTGCCAGAACTCCATTCTCAGAAAGGGGGCGTTGCGGGTCGGATTGGATACGAACTGCGCAATGTCGCTGTACGGGTAAAGAGCGTGAGGCCCGAAGCCACCCGAGCCGCAGAATTGTTGATATTGATGGATAATCGAGAGACACTCTTCCCTGTCGCCAGCGCTACTTGTACAGACATCCTCGAATTTGTTGCTTGGATAGTGGGGGAGTATGCAGAGTACCTAGAGGTCCCCGATCGCACCCTGACGTCCTTGCTTCATCCCTCGAATCTCTATCTACCCGGTACTGTTTTGTCGTCATATCTTCAGGCCATACCTAAGCTCTTCGTTTCCCTAACATCGAAGTCTTATGGTTGGGATTCTTCAAGACAAACCGAGGTTTCGCTTGTTCTAGCACGAATCACTGATTTTCTTGAAAAACTATCTTCTCACCCCGACCTGGATGTTCAGGAACGCGCTATTGAATTTCTTGAACTCCTCCGCCTCACCGCAGAGGCCATCTCTTCCCAGGACACCGAGAGCAGCGATGCTCCACTTCTCATCTCATCAGCTATTCCGAGCTTATTTGCTGGTATTGAACTTAATCCCGTCGCCGTAGGCGCCCAGAAGAAAGTCCCCCAGCCCGAAAACCTCGATCTAGACAAACCTCTAAACGACAGACTCCACTACATCTTAACAGAGTCAGAAAACGGCTGGCTGGGTATATCCGATCAAGATGACTTCCGAGACTTTTACTACGTCCCGGACCTCGTCAGCACCAAACAACAGTCCTACACCAAAGAATCCACAACACCTAACATCACGCAGACATCCTACCAGAATATGACAGACGATTTTGCCGAAAGTGCCGAAGCCAAAGCCCGACGCCGTGCTGAGCGCAGGGATCGTAACAAAGACGATCCGTTTTACATTGGACACGACGAGGGGTCATCAGGAACGTCCACACCCTTTCACCAAGTCCTTCGCACTTCTAATGGCGAAGAGCTGGATATTGATTCCATCCCAATTATTGACCTAGCCATTGAAAGCAGCAAAGCAACGTTACCATCAGCAATCAGAAGAGGAGAGGGACGACCCAAAAAGGCCCACTCAAAACCCAAAAAGGTAGAAATACTAGGTGATGAAACCATAACTATTAGTGACGGACGTGCCGCATCCACGGGAGGCCTAACATTAACCACCGCAACGGCGGAAAAACCCAAAATTAAACGCTCCCTCCTCGAAGTCGATTCGAGCGGCCTATCCAATCTTTCTCTCGACGAAGCTAGCGGACCGGGGGGATCTGGACCAGCAGCACCGGGCTTGAGTATACACGATATCGAGCGCCGGGAAGCAGAAGAAGCGGAGATGGCGAAGGCGATGCTAGAGATTGAGAGGTTGAGGTTAGAGATGCAGCGTGCGGCGGACCGGGTAGAGGCGCATGGCGTGCCACCGGAGGGTACACTTGTTAAGCGGAAGAAGAAGAAGAAGAAGATGGACCAGGATGATGCTAGGGTGAAGGCTAAGACGAAGCAAAAGGAGGGTACCGGTGGCGAGAGACCTCTAACACCAGGCTCCATGGCTGCCCGTGCAGCTCCGGCTGGTATTGCCGGGAACCCGGTAGTTCCTGGCGGCGAAGCCAGCGAGGGCGGAGTGGAGGTAAAGCGGAAGAAGAAAAAGAAAACTTCATCATCCTCTAAGAAAAAGAAAGATGATGCAGCTGCCAGCTCTGGTGCTGGTGTTAATGCACATGAGGCTCAGGTTTCATAAACACGTTCCTAGTTTTCATAGCTATTGCACTTTTGGAAGGTTTGGTGTTTGCATGTCTATAAAGATACGGGTACCTTAGGTATATAGCAGGCATATCCGGATGCATAATTTAGATGACATACATGATGATATTCAAGACTCAAGGAGACCATGGTCAATACCTCACTTAATACCTAAAAGTTATAAACAGGACATTCCATTCCCGCACCGACACATATGGATACAGAAAATAGTTACGCAGGTATACAGACAATTGATAAATAATGAGACAGATACAGCGAAATTAACTAATAACACAGGTACATGTCAGAAATAATGCAACGCCCTTCCTCACATTTCAACTAAGCAGACCAAAGCATCAGTCAGGGAGCAACAACGCAGGCGCCCAAGTGAAGAAGATTTTGATATACATATATAACAAGAAATACACAGAACTCAAAACGTAAAAACTTGTAGCAAGCCACGGACATAAGAAGGCATGGAAAATCCATAGGGGAATCCATGAGGGGTATTGGCCCATTATGGAATGAGGCGCTGGGCACAATGCAATCCACGACGCGACTGGTATCCGAGAACTGGAGAGAAGGAAGAGCCCCTCGTTTAGACAAACTACGCGAACGGAGTCGGATGGGGTTTCGGGTGTGGATAGAGACGAGGCGAGGCGAGGCGATCCACATACTGTTTAAGAGAGATACGAATTCATACGAATTCGAGCGCAAACCCTTAAGAATAAACATTTCGATTGTTTCCATTCAATCCTTAACTCGTCCACTTTGTTACAAAGGCCGAAATCGCCGCCCAGATCTCTGGCACCACCCTGGCGAGCTCGAAAAGCATCCCGCCGCACACGACGAAGGCGAGGACGACTATTATTACAACCACAAATATGTGTCAGTAATCATTCCCTAATCAAACTATATATGTAAATAAAAGCAACACGTACCAACCCAACCAACAGGCACGGGGGACTTCGGTTTCGGCTTCGACTTGACAACGGCCTCCGGCTTACCGCGCTTTGCAGCTTCGAGTTTGGCGAAGCGCTCATTTGCGCGACGTTGTTGAGGGGTTTGGACCTATATATAATTATTATTATTATTATTATTATTATTATTATTACTAGTACTCATTAGAGAGGTCGTAGAGTAAGGGCATCTTGTCGCATACCATTGTGAGGGTGTTAAAGGGAGCTTCTCGTTTGCTTGCCGGTGACGATACGGGCGGCAAAGGAGAATATGTATATCTTTTGTAGCACAATGGGATATCGAGAGGGTTAAATAGCCAAAGAGCCAAGAGTCATATGTGGTTGGAAGCGGATGGTGGATTGTTCGAGATCGAAGTAATGTATATATAAGTATAACCACGTTGCGATAAGTGAACGGCCAGCTGGCCTCCGCGCGCCGGGAGATATTTAAGGGGCAAAGGCGAACAGCAGTTGTTGTGAGGGACCACGGCTAGTAGATGAGAGTACGGATTTCAATTGATTGTCTTATACAGAGAGATTAGATTAGAATGTTGTGTCTTGGGACAATCAACAGTTCTCTAGAGTTTAAAATAATAAATATATAAAATAAATTGTTGTTCTTCGTTTTGTATAGTTAAATAATAACTAACTTACTCCGTACAACAAACCGATAAAAAACAACCGCTGCTGTTGGAATTTCCTAACTGGGGAAATGTCTTGGCGATGACGTAATCGCGCATGTTAGGTATCAGTACCGTATTATTACGGATCATGTGATTCCCCGGGTCAGCTTCTGTGTTCCGCTTCGAAAACAACCATCGCGAGAGGTGACGGAGATACAGTTGCAACAGATCTTGTCTATATCCTAGCGCGAGAGTATCACCACCATGCCGACAAACGAGACTACGGCTACTGATAGGGATCAGTCCCCCGAGTCCCATCTCGCTCAGGTAAATATTAGCCCCCGGGTTTCCCTTCTGGTCTTTTGGTATCTCCTTCACTTCCATATTCCTTTCTCACAGCTTGACAGGCATTCAAAGATATCGCAGAGTCCGTACAGCCCTCTCCATAGACGACACTTCGATTGACGAACTGCACGCCTTGATGGCCAATGAAAAAATATTAAAATCTAAACTAATGCATATTTATGGGTATACAGTGGTGAAAGAACAGCCTCAGCCCTTGAGCACCATCTCGCCAGTCTGGAGGAGAAAATAGAAAGTCTTCTGGCTGCCATCGAACAGCCCGGAAATTCAGATGGCACTCGTGGCGCGTCGAGTACAAACTCCAAACCCGAAAATCGGACAGATACTGGAGATAACATGAACAACAATAAAAAATAACACGCCGGGCAATGAATGACGTCGCCCTCACTCAAAAATCCGCGCCAGATGAAATGCCCCGCTCGCATCCTTCTCCACAACCCCAACCTCCGTGATAATCCCATCAATAAGCGCCGCAGGCGTAACATCAAACGCCGGATTCCACACATCAATCCCATTAGCCGCGACGGTGATGGTCTCCATAGCCCTAAGTCCATCCACCTCTTCTCCAGCCCGCGGCCCGCGAACCCGCGTCACCTCCTGCTTGGGCCGTTCCTCAATAACAATATCTGCACCGGTCTTCGTATTCATATCGATCGTCGTCCGCGGCGCCGCGACGAGGAACTTGACACCGTGATATTTCGCCAGGACAGCCAAGCCGTACGTCCCGATCTTGTTCGCCGTGTCGCCATTGGCGGCCACGCGGTCTGCGCCGACGATGATGGCACTTACGCCCACACTTGCTGCTGAGCCTGCCCTATTGCGTGCAAGGAGGGCCGCAGCCATGTTATCTGTGATGAGAGTGGCGGGAATTTTGTCGTGGACGAGCTCGTAGGCGGTGAGGCGAGAGCCTTGGTTGTACGGGCGGGTTTCTGTGCAGTAGGCACGCTCGAGGGAGCCGGTGGCGTGCAGGGAGCGGATGACACCTAAGGCTGTGCCGTAGCCGGCCGTAGCAAGGGAGCTGTATGATAGAAATATAATATATTAGCAACGCATTCGTAACTGGTAGAGCAAATAAAATCTTTTCCATATCGTGACATACCCAGTATTACAATGGGTGAGCACCGCAACCTTCCCCTTCTCCGACCCTGACTCTGACCCCGTAGCCACCCCATTTTCCAAGACCCATCTGGCTCCAAACTCCCCAATGGCCCTATTATCCTTTACATCATCCTCCAACATCCTCTGGGCAGCCGCAATATACGCCTCCGCCACCTCCCTCCCATCAACTCCCCGCACCTCCGCCTTAGCACTAACAATTCCACCTAACCTCCCCGCCGCCTCCGCTAGATTCACCGCCGTCGGTCGACTACTCACCAGATACTCCAATTTCTCCCGAATAAACACCTCGACCTCCTTGGGTTCCGGGGAGAGCTGATTATTGGCCGCCAATGCATCTAGCTCCACGGCGAGTGATAGGGCGGCGACGATGGCGATGGCAGGTGCGCCACGGACGCGCATTTCATGGATGGCGTGCCAGGCATCGCAGGCGGAGTGGAGGGGATCATACGTGGTTTGGTGGGGGAGGAGGAGTTGGTTGAGAATGCTGAGGGAGCCGCGGGTGTAGGTAATGGCGGCAAGGGTCATGATCGCGGCTCTTTTTTTCCTTGCTTTTTTTGATTCACTTCTTTTCTCTTCTTTATTGTCGAAAAGGTTGGAGGTAGGTATATAGAGGGCAACTTATGATCAGTATAGTAAGAGGGCTGGTTATAAGGGGTTCAAAATGCGAATTGTTTCTGTTCGGATGGTGGGCTTGGCGAGATATAACTAAATAGCGAATAACTTTTGCCCCTCCAGATGTCCCGCGACATATTTTATGTCGGACTGCCTACAAATAGTAACACAAACTAGATGGCACAATTGAACGGATATGATTAATCGTGTTTTAATGCATTATAGAACTGATCCTCCTTCTAAACCCCATTCTACGTGTTGAATTATCATGACAGTATAGCTGTCCATGAAGCTGTATATATGGACATATACCTCCTGCTTCTGAATGCCGATTCAAATAAATCAGTAGACGATGACAAAAAGTCCTGAGTCCACCAACGCTGGACGTCGCTGTGGTGAAGATGCTTGGAATGCAGGGGTCAAGGAGGGAATGTCCAAGCTGCTCAAGTGGCCGCCGGTAGGCGATGCCTTGTGGAGTATAGAAAAGATCTGGCCATGCAAATTGCATTGAAGAGCCACCGGCCATTAATCTGTAGGGAGGTTGCGGTTCATTAAATGATAAATATCAGAAATCAATTCATTCATAATTGATGAAGAGGTGCCGCTTGCTGTAATTGACCCCCGTTCGCGGGCTCAGTGGCTAAGCAGGTATTTAGGAAAAGGGGATAGATTCTGCATTCCTCATCTGCATGCAATAAACCAGTAGCAATAGCAGTGACCTTTGGCTCCAGGTATTTTTTCGAAGTCATATGCTCCTAACTTGCACCGGTATACGCAGACCCTATAACCCCAGGCCCAACACAGGTAGCCATTTTCAATATACAACCAAAACCGAACTTTGCGTAACGTCAAGGATGAAGGGAAAGAGGAGGCCACTTGGATGCTTTGTGTAAATATATCATAATCATTTCGTAAAGGTATTATTCTCTTATATGAAGCAACGAAGGACGACAGGACCTATGAATCGGCGGAGATATACAGGACTGGTCCACGCAGCAAATAGTGAGCAAAAAAAGCACATTACAAATATCAATGATAAATAAACGGTAAAAGGAAAGAAAAGGTCTCTATACCATTATTCCCTCTCACAAAAGCATCGCCATAGCTCCGTCTCAGTTTTCCATCGACGTATTCCTCAGTCTTCTCCAGCGCGATATTCATATACCCATCGACGGATTGTAGCTCTCCTAAACCATAAGACAAATAGTTAGATGGACTGTACGATAAAAAGAGCATATCAAATAGGATCGAGCATCTCACCTTTGTATACCACACCGGAATTCAGCTTCACTGTGACGGGGGCGCCGGTGATTTCGCCGAGGAATGCGGAGGGATCTTTGCCCTCGGACGCGGAGCCGTTTTCCATCGCGGGAGATATTTATAGTATACAACTGTATATGTTTGTTGGAAGCCGAATAGCCCAGCGGTATACGGGACTATAGAAGGAAGAGTTGAGTTGAGTCGTATTTCATTTGTTATTTATTGTGTTGTGGTGAAGAGGAAGAAATCCTCAAGCTCCGCCATGTTCTTTCTTGGCGGCCGAGTTGACGTTCTGCATCCGTCCTAAATATTGAATATACATAAATAATAAATATATACAGCCGTTTATCCCTTGCTGCCACGGATATTTATTTTAAGAAAGCTTTGTTCCAAATACCACTCCAGCAAATATTATGTGTATGCCCACTTGCGATATGGCTCTGTGAGAATATTGTACTCTGAATCTAGTCGAGGTAAGTTATTATAGCTATATTTATCCTAAGCTATAGCGTCCCCCACGTCTGAAGCACTACTAACTAACTCTTGTGTCCACCAATAGCTCTAGGACGGAGTACTCGCATGGTCGCGCAAAGCCGCAAGGGCTGTAAATATGCGATCTTTCTTCAAGAAGCCAGACTGGGCGAAACCGGATAGTAATCCAGGCCAGTCGGCTGAATTCTACAGGCGGTCCGAGCAAGTTTACACAGATATTATCTCCAGAAAGCCCGAAGTAGATGAGAAGAGTGAGGATGATGAAGATAATGAGGAAGCTAGCCAACATTTGCAGGACGACAGGTTTCAAGAGCCACAGCCATCACAAGAGTCAAGAGGATCGAAACGGCGGCGGATTTCTCGCGAAGAAAGCGTACCATCAACGAAGTGTCCCGGCCGGGGTTCTGAGGGATGTGAGAAGGGCAGGGAAGATCAAGCCGATGTCAAGGAGGCGATATGCCCAATGCAACGAATGCAACAAGCACCAGCGACGACTATGTCGCATACACAAGTCAAGAATCCTCCTGCGAAAGTGAATAATGAACTACCTCCAACCGCAACAGTGATAGAACTGGATTCATCGGATACGGGTTCTTTACGGCCGAAGTCGCAAAGTGTACAAGCTACTCAACCACACAGTAGACAAGCGCCAAAGCATGCTCTCGACGACGAGGAGGATGACGATGACGACCTATACAAGGAAGAAGAGTACGCCGAGCTAGTGCGCAAAGCCCGAGAGAGAGCACGACTACAACGCGCAGCCTCAGCCGGCAACGCTGGACCTGATCCTGTGGCAGCAGGCGCCCGAACAACTCAGTCTCCTAATCTCAACCACACCACAAAACCCACCAGCAACACCCCAGACAGACAAAGCCAGCTTGTAGAACCCATCGTGAGAATCCTCATAACCTCAGACCTGCCCAACACAAATCCACTCATCGTCCAGCGGCGACTGAACCAAGATCTCCGTGACGTGCGCCGGGCCTGGTGCAGCCGACAAGGCTTCGACGATGACATGACCGCCTCCGTATTCCTGACCTGGAAGGGCAGACGATTATTCGACGTGACGACCTGCAAGAGCCTAGGAGTGCTGGAGGACAAGGAAAAAGGGCTACTACAACCACTACCCATAAGGGATTATTACAACGATAGCGACGACGATGGTCGGGACAGCGAATGGCTTGAAGTTCACATGGAAGCCGTCACGGAGAAACTGTTCGAGGAAAAGAGACGCCAGGCGATGAAGGCATCGCAAGGTGGGTCCGGCGGCAGTGATGAGGACGAATATGATGACGGCGACAACGACGACGATGACGAAGACAAGGATGAGATGGGTCGAGAATCTCAAGAAAAGCAGAACGTTCTCCTCATCTTCCTTAAATGTCCTGGTATCGAGGATCTGAAGATAAGAGTGCGCCACAAAACACATATCTCGTCGATAATCAGGAGTTTCCGGGAGAAAAGGGATATACCTTCCCACCGCACGGTTCAGTTGTTATTTGACGGTGACCAGCTTCATCCAGACTCGATGGTCAGCGATAATGATATGGCGGACCGCGATGCGATTGATGTGCGCATTAAGTGATTTCTAATGATATCGCTATGCTTTGATATGGATATCCCGGCTAGTTTGATTTTCTTCTTTCCCACGAATGATCATACTGCTTGATTTATTTATTTTCTTTCTTCTGCTCGTATGTTCTTTCATCAAGTGGTTTATTACCGAGCGGGAACGGACGTTGGGGGTTTTGATAACTATTTCAACATGTATTAACTAATCACCATATTTCTCTACACATATTAATCTGCCTTGGGATAAATATCAACTATCCTATTTTATTTCGCTCTCCTCTTAACTCTAAGCAGTAGTTTGCCCATCCGTTCTATGCCCGCTGGTGCTTGTTGAACTGGATAGTCCTGTATATTTATATGTACTCCGTACATTCTTGTCTCTCGATAAGTGATAAGAGGCTTGGCTTTTTTTTTTCCCTTCCTCTAGCAATTTCCACTCCATACAACAAGTTACCGCAACCTGAGTACGCTGCGTATATAATAATCATCCAACACTCGAATCATATACCACCAGCCCCTGCTAGAACAAAATCACAGAGACAGAAACCAACACCATGAAAATCCTGACAGCAAACTTCCTGACTTGCGCCGTCAAGGCGTGCAAGGCCTCCCCGGCTGCTTTTCCCTTGCATTTCTCTGACGCAGAACTCGAGCAGGAAGAGACAGAGTTCCAAGCAGATTTTCTACGGAATATCTTACCGCGCATAGACTGGGAGGCATTGGTGGTGACAGCGGGTGAGGTATGTTTTGCGTTTCTCTTTTCACCTCTCTCCATCTTATTTATTATTAATACTACCTAGCTTCACAGAGGCTCCCCCTCCCCCTCCAATAAGAAATTTGAAAAGCGCAAGCAACTGACAACACCCGGCTTACCATTATATATATTTTGCATAACAGCTCGGTTTCACTTCCATAACCTCCGCAAAGCCCGAAGGTGACGCCGTGACGGACGAGCTATTGCAAGAATTGCACCGCTTCCTGCTTGAAACACATGTAATGGAGGGCAAGCTGGTGTGTGGCAACTGCGGGCACGAGTATCGAATTAAAGAAGGGATTCCGAATTTCTTATTGCCGAGCCATCTTGGTATGTGAATTCATTTTACATCATCTTCGGGCTCCGGTCCCGATTCCGCTCCTGGTTGTGCTTGTACTTGCGTGGACTGTGGTGGAGATGACGGATGCGACACGCGCATTAACTTATATCCAACATATTGCTAACTAATAACCAACTCTTTGGGTCATATACATAGTCTGATAAAAAGAGAAAGCGAATGGATCTTTCGCCCGTTACTGCCTTATGGAGTGTTCAGCCTAACCATATACTCAAAACCGCTCGTTTCTCCCCGCCCTGAGCGTCCCGTCCCTTCTCGTCCTGTCTGTCTACCTACGCTGCATCTCCGGACGAGTCGATTGCGATTCAACCATCCGCCCTGAACGCCCCTTTACGATAACTATATTGCCCGGTTCTCCATCCACTAGGCGCTTACGGCATCGCCAATGGACAGATGGAAAGCGAAAAATGCAATCGAGAGATAAAGAGAGGACACAACATCCGCGTTACAACGCTAATGATTTAACGGTTTTTATGCTTTGTTTTTAGAGAAAAGGGGTGGGGATCCGGCGTTTTGGGGCGGGAGAAAACTAGAATGAAAATGAAAATAAATTGCGGCTTGGAGTCCCATGTTTTATAAGAAACTAGTTTTCCACTCACTTTTTCATAGATCTCATCTATTTAGAAAAAGAGAAATACCAATGGCAACCATTGTGGAAGCATATGATCCAGGGGGTCTAAATTGACGGTTGAAGAAACTACGTTAATATTTGTATTATTACCCTGCATTGGTAATTTGTGCTGAAATATTCCTATTAAAAAAAAAAAAAAAAATAGATAGAGAAAGAAAGTGGCAGACTCATTCAATTACCCCCATGTAATATTTTCTCTTTTCCCCCGCGGCTCCGTCCATAGACACAGTGAATAAGACATAAAAGGGACAATAGATAGATAGATCCCGGAGGCCAGAGAAGAAATAAAGCACAAGGTGGGCAAAACGAAAACATATATATATATGTGTGTATGTAGTGGAGGAAAGGGAAGTTATTATACATAGCCATCGTGAATAAGGACGGGAAAATAAAAAGCGCTGGAAAATAAAATATAATATTAGACACAAGAATGGTCAGAGGAGTAAAAATAAAAGGTACAGACAGCAGCACCAAATCCTCTTTGAACAGTAAAAAATATCACCACCAAAAGAAAGGTGAAATAAATAAACCCCTGAACAGAAACATACCCATATCCTATCCCCTACGTAATAAAATAAGGCTCCATGGGGAGAGAAGAACCTCGGAACAAATGGAAAACGGTATGGAAACAAGACGATAACGCCAGAAATATCCCTATACGGACAGACGCAAATATAAAAAACGAAGGAGCTAAAGAAACGAGAAGAAAAAAAGTGAACGCCTTTCCCAGTGAAAATTACTTTCTGAACTTTAGTTTTTCTCGCTTTTGCCCCCATTTTCCGGTGTTGCCCTAAAGACTAGATGCTGGTAAAAGAAAATAATAATAATAATAGAAGAAAAAACCACCAAGGCAAAAATATACGGCACGAGAGAGAAAAAAAACATTCGGTGATTCGATGTTGTCGTGTCGTGTTATAATCTGTTCAATCGGCACGGATCAAAAATGTGAAAGAGAAAAATAATAAACAACCAAAGAAAAGAAAGGGGTAAAATATCGTATTGTATGGTATCACACATCCCATCTCTGGAGAGAGAGAAAGCCAGAAGGCGAGGAGGCTGAGTAGGTAAACAACAAATAGACTAGGAACCAGGAAGGTCAATTCAGTTAAGGAAGCCTTTACACCCGGTCGAGCCACAGAGACACGGGATCCTGTCGTCGCTATCCCATTCCCGCTCGAATTTATAATCGTACGTAAGTTCTTCATCTGCAATTGGTTTTAGTCAGTCAGTTCCACATCCGGAATTTGTACATCGAATGAATCGGGCGAGAGTTGGGGAACTAACCTCGTTCAATATCCCTTAACGCATAAATAACAATCCTCTTACTCCCATCCACCTTAATAATCTTTGCCGTACAATTCGGAGTACAGCTATGGTTAATAAACCGGGCAATACCGCCCCTCTTCGTCGCATCGATGACTGTATTCTCATCAATGCGGAAGAGATAACTGCTACCAATGCCACTTTTGAGGTACCTCCGCTCTCGCATATCAGCCACCTGCTGCCGGACCTTCTCGCCCACATACTCGATAATCATGTCATTGGCAGAGATATTCTCCTCAGCATACAGACCCCAGTTGTGAATGGCTGAGCGTGCGAAACGCACAGGCTTCTTGCGTTTCTTAAGCTGGTTAAAACGAAGGACGTCGCCCTCGCCGCCCTGCATGGGCAACGCCTGTTTCTGCGCGTTGATGTCAGCGATGAGACGACGATTGTTGACGCGGGTAGAACGGGACGTGGACTTGGATATCGTCTTGGCGGCAGCCAGTCGCGCTGCTTCTGCAGCAGCGGCTTGCGGATCTGCCTTTGCAAGGGCCTCGCGTTCCTCGCGGGCCTTCTGTACCTTAATGCGGTGGGGGAGATATTTTGATTTCTCGGATTCAAGGATTCGTTTTCTCCCTTCTGTGCGGGCGCAACCGGTTGAGTTGGGAACGTAATAGCCACTGATTTTGGTTTCCGTATGGACAGGTCCTCTTTCACCAGCACGATTGATAGCTTTGATTTCTTTTTGTCTCCAAGCCCAAGCGGATAGGTTTCCAATGTCTGAGGGTGGATATTCTTGAAGGGCTTCTCGAAGGAATCGAATATCCTCGTCGTCTTTGATGAGGTTCTGCCACCCGTCAAGATCCAAGATGATAGCTTCATCATCCTCGACGGTGGGTCTGGGCACATCTCTGGAGACACCCCATTCGACTTCCGGCCTGGTCTCCTCGAAGATTTCAGGAACAACATCCTCGATCGATTTCTCTTCCTCTATTGGTAGAGGTTTGATCGTGATAGTATCTTCTCTCGGAGGAACATGCTCTATGCCTTCTAGCTCCTTCAATTTCAACGCTTCCCGCTCCTCGAATATTTGTTTCTTGGATTTCTTCTTCGCCTTGGATTTCTTGACCTTGATCTGTGTCATTGGCTCGATGACTGCTGCAGCGTCATCCACATCCAAGTCCGTCAGCTCAGGCTTGATCTGCTCATCAAGTTTCGTAGAATCAAGCAAGCCAAATAGTTCTTCATCTTCCTTCTGCCTTTTCCGAGCTTGTAGTTCTTCAGAAATCCTCTTTCTTTTCTTCGAGGCAGGCGACAGGTCCATCATGGTATGCTCGAGCTCGTCGATAGTGGCATCTTTGATAGCTTTGACACCCAGTTGCTCCTCATCAGCTTCGGTAGCCATCGGCTCATCTCCAAACCCATCTTCATTCTCCGAATCCGACATCATGCTCATACGGCTAAGCGGTCGACTCTCCTGCTCCTCTGTGTCCCGCGTAAACGAAGTCCTTCGTTCATCATCCGAATCTTCATCTTCATGGAGTTGCTGCAGGCGATGATAGAGGGGTCTAAACTCTCTTCGTCTTGGTGGCCGTCTTCGCCTTTCATCTATGAAAGCATCATTAGCGCTCTCCAGGCCTTGCATCTTGCGAATACGCGGAAGGGAGAGGATATTCGAAGGGCCAAATGGCGCGCGACTCCTTGAGTCTGTGCGCGAATCCGGTGTTCCAACGATAGTGTCATCGGAAGTGTCAATTCGGAACGCAGGACGCTGAGTGCTCTCAGGATCAGGGATCCCCAACTTTTGTCGCTTAGCGGTGTGACGACCGGGCTCGAGGTAATCGTAGAGGGCTGGGGCAGCTATTCTAGACTTGACATCTTCCAGCAACTTGTCCCTAAGCTCAGAAACAAGCACAAGAAGCACTTCCCGGGCAGGGTCAAGATCAGCAGCGCGTAGCTTTTTCTCCTCTTTGATATCCAATTCATCCTCCCTTTGTAACCGTTCCTTCTCCGCTTTCTCCCGCTGCTCCGCCTTGACTCGTTCAGGACTGGGACTGCGGACGTAGTTTGGGTTACCATACGGTTGGCTTTCCATATTCATCACATAGGTAAATAACGCGGTCATATGGCACATCTTGTAGCACCGTTCCGTCTCCTCCTCGCCCCGCCGGGAATTATCAAAAATGATATAATATCCAGTTTTATCGCAGCGAACCGACTTCCAGTTGAAGAGTTTTAACCGCCTTTCCAGGTGAGGTATCGTGGTACTAAGTACAGGCACGTAGCAGTGAGCGATAAAGATGTAAGGGTCTCGTTTAATCTGGTCAAGGATCGGCGTCTCCTCGATGAGCGAGGGTGCGGGAGGCTTCATCATCGTCGCTCGTGGGCCTTCGGGTATCAGCATGTTCGGCTTTCGCGATGGGCCCTTGGGCGCTGTTGGGGGCGGGAGGTTATCTTGTTCCTCCGATTTCATTTTTTCTTCCATCACGAGCGGCGGAGGTTCTTGCTGCCTCTGCGACCCAATAATCCTTGCAACGAGCCGGTCGCTGACTACTCCATCACGATCAAGACTGACCTGTATCCGACGTACTCCAATGCGCTGTTCCTTTTTACACTCCAGGTACGCTCTTCGCGCAGCCTGCGCCGCTAGGAGGGGTCCTCCGCCACGAAACATTCTCGAATCCTTATACCGTATAGAGCAGACACCCAGAAACCGACCAGTGTTTGGATCTGTCCTATTTTTGATCTCCGCGATATCTCCAAAGCTGGAAAAGAGGGCACTAATCGGTGCCAGAGGGGTTAGAGGGTCGTAGCCGGTTACTACAATTTGTGTTGGTGGACCGGGCCCAACAGATGTAGCGGGATCGTACGGCCATGGTCGAAGAATATAAGGCGCAGGGCGATACTTCGTTTTTTGCTTACATCCCGCGCCACGAGTATAGTTGGCAATGGCAATGCGTGGATCTGCAGGCGGAGCTTCGTCCTCGGTAGTGTCAAAGACTTCATATTGAGGCTTCCTCCGTTTTTCTTTGGTTAAAGGTTTCCGTTCCAAATCTGGGTCATAGGTTAGTTTGTAGCCCTTTGGTGCATTTCCTGCAGGTCGAGCCTGGATTCGCGGAGTTGGAGGAGTCTGGAGGGGGGTGATTGTTGCTTTGATATCGTCCACAAAGCGACTCGTGGGTACTATTTCACCGGTTGCAGCAATTGATTTTTGGCCTGACGGGCTGGCGATTTTGCACGAGGGAGACGAATCTGTATTGGTTAGAGGAGTGAGGGCATGAGGGTGCGTTATTCCGTTAGAAGTCGTTAACCCAGGCTGGGGCAAAATGGATGCGCTGAAAACAGAGGAACCTGTGCTAGTAGAGCTGGATGAACCTACACCGTTGGCATCGCCTGGAGTGATATTTACATCCCCGCGAGCAACAGCGCCAGCGGATTCATCAAATTGAGTATTGCTATTTATATTAGTATGGCTGCTACTGTTGTTCTTGTTGTTGTTGTTGCTGTTGATGTTGTTGTGCACATCGCTGTTGGTGTTGTTGTCTGAGGCCCCGCCCTCTTCCGCACCAGGGACACCAACACCAGTGACTGTGACGGCGGCGGTGGCGGCGGTGGGCGCTGGATTGGAGGACTGGGGATCATCGTCGTGTTTGAGCTTGCCCTTTGGCCGGTCTTGGGCAGCTTTGGAGGAGCGCTTCTTCTGGAGGACTGAGGGAGCGGTAGGGAAGAAGTCTGCGAAGCCCGCCGAGGCGCGTGACATAATGGGGAGAGACAGATAGATGGCTAACAGCCCGATACCGACCAGAGACAGCCCGCAAACAGCATCGTCGACAATTTGGAGACTAGCTATGGGCAGTCTACTAGGACATTCACCTCCGCCGGATTTTAGGAATTAACGGGGTAGGTATTGGGAAAAAGTAGGGGGACTCGCGGGAAAAGTGACGCGAAAATGGTGGGGAGAGAGAGAGAGAGGACAGAGGAACAAGAAGTGCGGAGGACGCGCAACTGTGGAGCAAGAGGAGGCAAAGAGGAGAGATAGAGAAAACGGGAATTAGCCAATAGGTCGGGGGAGAGAACAGAGTATGGAGGAGTTCAAGTTGCCAACCAGCTGGAGCTGTCAGTGGTTGTCGTCGTTGTGGAGGGCTCTTTTTCTTATTTGGTTTGGTTTGTGGTGACAGAAGAAATCTGGAGGCTGAAATCTGAAATGGGAGGAAGTTGAAAATGGCGGCGAAGGGGAAAAAAACACTCCACCACCAGCCATTAAATTACAACACCACAACCACCAACCACATCAACCACCACATCAACAATACACCAACTATATCAGCTACATCATCTACTGGACTGCGAGCACTCATCAAACTTCAACTTCCAGCTCTGGTATAACTTCTGCATTCACCATCTCTCGTCGTCCGCTCCGTTCGCCCCTACTTGCGTGCGCGGAGGCCATCCCAGCAGTAATGCACTGTCTACACCGACTCCCCCCCATCATCCATCTCCATAAACAACATCGCAAGACATCTTATTTATCTCGTCACATCTAGCGCGAAATGGCCGCAACGTCTTTGCCAAGGAGAATGGGCTGTTTGATGCATGTCGTCAACACCTAAGACGTGTTCTGGAGGGCCGATGCGCCTGATATTTTTGCCCCCACTTACACCCGGAGCGGAGAGGATCGATGTTATTCCATTTTCTCCACAGGCAGTGACGCTTTTCGCATTCCGGTATCAATATGTTGATATCTCACAGTCATCTACTAGGCTCAAAATAATACCTTTGATATAAAAATACCAACGTTTCTTCTTCTCCGGCCATTCTTCTAGAACCCCAGCGGCGGCCATCGATCCCGCAACCTACTAGAAACTGCTCGGAGAACTGGCAACAGCACCCACACACCCACCCACCGGCTAAACGTTGATTGTTCGATACTATGTTGGATCGCTGTCTAGAGATGTATACCCCACTTTCATGATACCCCCTTCCAGTTGACAAATAAGCCAGAATTCCCCAGGACAATCGAGTAGCGGCGGAACCGAGAAAATGTCTCCGGCACCCGTGCGGTTGTATGGCCATTGAGATGATTCCACAGATAATAAATACTACCCTCAAACATGGAAATTCAGCTGTCAGAGTGAGTCGTACTGTGTGTCTCTGCGGGCTACGGACGGTCCCTTCCCTGTTGTCTTATCCGACCTGCCCAGAACAGCGCATCTACGAATCGCTTCGTGATTTCAGGACAAACATCTATTTGGAGCAAATCCTCCAACACGCCCAGGTTACTAACAACACTCTTATATGAATTTGTCGTGTGAATGCTCATCTGCATCTATCCCCGGCATTATCCATGGCTGGCTAGTTCGAACCATCTCCGTCCCTACCATGACAGCCGCGTGAACCAGTGGAGAGAGATATATCTATATATGCAAGGATTTATCATTTCTTCCCCTCAAGTCGGAAATACGCGTTATCATTATTGCATGTATATACTCATTTCACGTTTCACATGACGTCGGGTGAAAAGATGGAACCTGGGGATGGATATAAAGGTAGCGGGAACGGAATGTGCGGAAGGCTCGGAAACCGCACCAGGCAGGGCGGTACAAGACTGGACTTGCCCGCGGACTGTGTGAAACGTGATAGTAAGTAGTGGAAGGGATTTATATTCAATGCAGTTTCTGTATGTGCCCTCCGCATATCACAGGGGGGTTGAAGACGAATGAAGAGATCGTTGGGTCTGTATGTGCTCCAAAACCCAGTAAACATCCTCAGACAACCAATGTTATTTTATGTAGCGCGGGCCATAGAGAGTAGGCAATTGAAGAACAAAGAGTATTCCATAGCTAACACGATCCGATCAACCTTCATGACTCTCTATGCTGAGAGTCCTGCCAGAGCAAGAGCATCATCCATCAAGAACCTGCAACGGAATAGAGGGCCGGATTAGTAATCTATGCTTGTCTTGGCAAACATGGCACCAAGAAACAATCTTCTTGCGGATGGCAATAATGATGCCCCTTTTGCCTTTCGTGAATTATGAATTATTATTGACTTGACTGCGAATATGTACGGATTAGTTATACGTTTGCTGGCCCCCCTTTATCTATTGGGTAACCTATGAATGACTGAAGCTACGTTCCTGGTCCATCATTATCATTATTGTTAATCCTTTCGAACTCCAACCAACACTAGCCTAACTTCCACCTCTCGCTCGTCCTTGCTTGCTGCTTGACAGGCAAACAACTAGTGTTAAAAAAAAAAAAAAAAAAAAAAAAAAAAACAATACAGGGTCATTCCTGTAGATGGTGCTAGACTAAACCAACAATCATACTAAGGGCCAGGGGCAGCTGCGAATTGCCTAATTAACATGCCTACAGAAACAATATACGTCCATCACTCATATCAATTGATGTACTTTTTTCCGGTGCGCTGGTAATCGTCTGAATCTCACTGCACACATCGTCTACCAATTTTTCTGCCAGGGGAGTGGGGACTCCCTTCCGGGCATATTCGATGGTGGGTGTTGTCTATGGTGCTACGTTAGTTCTGATAGTGTCGACCTTGCTCAGCACTTCGCCGGTTTCATTATTAGCCTGACTACTCTACTGCGAATAGGTTGGGAGAATAAAACCGTATCGACAAAATCCCAGCACCACCGCTGTAGAATTGTATTGTTGGGTATTTGAATCTGGCGGGTTGATGAGAACGACATTTCGGCCGAAAGATGGGGGTTTCCCACAGCATCCGATCTCGGGACGATGTTCGTCATTGTTGAGCCATGAAGGAACGTAAGCCAATGGTCTAGTTAGAGTCTTTTGGTCATTCATGGGTTTGTCAGTGAACGACACTCATAAAATTGACAAAGCCTAGACGGGTATGAAGAAGCGATTCTCCTTTAGATCCTGATGCCAGACCTTCCCAAAGTCAACTCAAGCATATACCAAACCATACTGAGCGTGCGATATGCGAAGGGTAATTCTTGTCTGTTGAGAACCTTTCGATCCTTTAATGACTATGAGTTTCGCCCATGGCCTCCCTAGCGCTGGAGGGCCCCAGACATCATGTTCTTTCAAAGTATCTGTTAGAGATATTATACTTCCCTCAGCCTCATAGATGTCCATTTGGGGAGCAGAGATTCACATGGCTTGAAATTCGGTAAACTTGTAGGACATTGACGATTTAGCTGTTCAATAGTGCCAGCTTGTGGGCACATGGCATCTTGGATGAAGGCATCTCTATATCTTGCGTCTGAAGAAGAAGGGGGAAATGGGGGCGTGTTCTTAGCCTCTGTGGCTGTATCATTGCTGGAATCAAGTTCCCCAGTAACTCCAATGGGACTGAGTTTGTCATGATTGCCTTCGTCCACAATATCCATGAAGGGAAGTCCGACGTAGCGTGCCTGAGGGACATTCTGCATTCCACGATTGTATGAAATACTGATGGAAGTTTCCGTAGGGTCCTATGGGTTGATCATTAGGGTGTATTTCCATCTCTCAATCACATCCTCTCTCATTAATTCTCCGGCAAGCACTGACGTCGCGATGTCAGGATCGTCCCTGGGCGGAAGCAGCTGCGCAAAAGTCGATGTCAAATTCATCCAATTGACCCTGAGTGATCGTAGCGCGGACGCTAGATTAAATATCCAGACGATGATGTTTATCATTACGCAAATGTAGGCTCCTCGATAAATGTCTCGTATGCTAATGTCCAACGCATAAGGAAGCAAATCGGCCGATGCTTGTATGTATGTACTATGTATGTGCTGTACATGTACACATTACTTAGGCCCAACTCCATCAGGTAGAATCCCGGTTGTAATGTACCAGATGAGATGTATAGATGACAATTGCACATGCTGTCTGCCAGGCTGTAAGTTCCGCGCATCTGTAGCTGTCCGGGCCATATCCGACAAGGTAAGGTGTTGAAAAAGTACTGCTGCTACCAACCGCATTGCACTAAGAGTATCTCCCCAGAGCTGGAAGAAATTGTCAGTGGCACTGATTGAAGTGGAATCAGGTTCAAATTCCTCAGACCGCAATCTTTGTAGCTTTAGCTCCATCTCTGGCGCTGGCTGCTTTTTGTATACACGTACTGTACATGGCCATATGCAACCGGTCTCCTCCGCCGAGCTCTGGAAGGCATCCGCTATTTTCGTCGGCACGATTATGCTTGAGGCCTTTTTCGGGACCCGAATGTACTTTATTTAAACTGGAGATTCAGGCTTGCCAATCCATCCTTTGGTCTCTAGATACCTCCAGTAAATGGATGGTAGTGAGAATCGATTGAATTTCCATTTCCAGCGCAAATATCAGATTTCCATCAAAGGTTAGCTAGCCTTGTATATAACTAGCTGGCTGGTTCTCAGGAATCCAACCTGGCCCGAAATTTATCTTCTCAGCACACGCACTGGATATATATGGTAAATATAGTAAATATATATATGAATGAGTTGTTGAGGGTGTTGACACCGGCAGCAGGGAAGGGAGATATCTTTATCCATACTGTACGGCTATTCTTGAACCACTGAGGAATAATGTTGTTCTCCATTGTCGGTGGTTCTGCAAATGCATTCATTGGATTGTTCTTCATACCTTCTCGTAACTATGAGCTAATCTATGTCATAGTTATGCTCCGAATGTAATGTAATAAGGGTGAAGAACAGCAGGAGGCCCCCCTCGGTAAGGCTAAGCGACGAACGATGACGCCGTTTACAACAGGGGTAGGATAGCTCCGGAAAAGAGATGCCCCCTGGCTACAAATAATAATAAGTCAGACAAAGGAGTAAGTTAAACAATGAGAAAAGAATAGACATACAGTAGTAAACTAGTTCACTGATAGTTGCTTGCAAATAACAAGAGGTTGTTTCTTTTCTTGTTCTTGATGTTGTTGCTGCTGCTGTTGTCCATGAGATGGTTCAAAAATAGAACATCTTCTCCACTTCCGCAGGGGGGAAATGAATGTCTTGAAAGTTGACTGCGGCCGTTCCAGAGTTCCATTCCCTTCTTCGTTCATGGTCGGCCCATGGGTCATTGGGTGAGCTAAGAATCGAGATTATTGGGGCAATTGGCTTAAAATAGGAGATCACCGCAAGGGTCTTGCTCGGATTTCAACTAAGTTTAACTAGTTAGCAGAACTTAGTAGAACTTAGCAGAACTTAGCAGAACTCAGCACTGGGAAGTCTGGGGCTCAGAGATCAGCCTGAGCAGAAGGAACTCAAAAAGAGAGACAAAAACCTCGTCATGATGGTCCAGCCCCATGAGCCCCCATCGCAGCGGGGCCAGGGGCTGCTGAAAGGGGCAGAATAGCCTAACCCGCCTAAGTTTAGGGGCAAGCCTTAGGGGCAGTTTAGGGGCAGTTTAGGGGCAAGGATGCTGGAGCTGCAGGGAGCATCGCCTACTACGCGCTACGTACTCCGTACAGGCTACGAGGCTACGACGCCCAGGACCCTCAGGACGCTAAAGAGGGGTGAGACCCCGCGAAGAGTCGCCACTGGCCCACTGCTACTGCTGGCAGGGACCACTGCTTGGTGGGCAGGGTTCTACCGTTGGGGGTTGGATGTTTGTTGCTGCCACGACCTGCTGTTGTTGCTTTTGCGCACATCTTCACTAATGCCACATTATTTACTATATTTATCTCCTATTACCACCATAGATTATAATCATCACGCACCTCCAACCTCCTTCCACCTCCCTTCCACCCCTCAGCTCTTGCTTGTTTCCAAGTTGTCTTCTTCGGCTTCTGTTGCCTTCTGTTGCCCTCTTCCTTCTTCTTCTTCTTCTTCTTCTTCTTCTTCCTCTTCTTCTTCCTCTTCATATCTCTCTCGTCTCTCTCGTCTCTCTCTTTCTCTCTCTCTCTCTCTATATAACTAATCTCACTCCAGCGAATCAATCGTTTTCACCTGTTTATATATCTTCATTCTCTTCCCCTCTACACCTCTTTCTCTCGCTTTCCATCTCCCATCTCCCATCTCCCGTCTTTCGTTTTCGTCTCTCTCGCCGGCTATTGGCTGTTTCTCCTTCCACCAACGTCCCCGCTTTCGAACCCTCCAGCCCGCGTTTCACCCCAAGCAACAACCTCCCTCCTCCTTCAAAACAATATCCAGATCATTTTTTAACACAGTCCCGACTCCTGCAAGACTGTTCTCCTTCCAATTGACCACTCTAGATTCTCCCCTCCTCCCTGACAGCTACAGATACTGAAACCATGTGGTAGGTTTGCCCTCTTGTCATTCCACCCCCCCCCCCTCCCTCCAACCACTCCAACTACAGGTGACGGAATCCCAGCTGACACTAATAAATAACAACAGTGGAATTTTCGGATATATCAACTATCTCATTGAGAAAGATCGTGCCTACATTATTCAGACTTTGGTCAATGGTGCGTGGCTAACCGTTTGGGCTCCTTTTGTTTGTCTTGAATCTGTTGGGAAAACCCACTATAAGGTTTTGTTGCTCTTGATGTTCTTACTGATGCAACCTCTCGTTCATTAGGCCTTTCAAGACTCGAGTACAGAGGCTACGACTCCGCAGGTCTGGCTGTAGATGGAGACAGAAAAATGAAGTCTTTGCTTTCAAGGAAGTGGGCAAAGTTGCCAAGCTGAGAGAGCTCATCAATAACTCAGACTTCGATCTCTCCAAGACCTTCGACTCCCACGCTGGTATCGCTCACACCAGATGGGCCACCCACGGGCCCCCATCTAGACTGAACTGCCATCCTCACAGGTATGTATATACTTCTTGAACTATCTTTTTACACCTTGCTTTTCCCTCGCCGTAAAACTAACAGCAGCCAGATCTGATCCTAGCTGGGAATTCTCCGTTGTCCATAATGGCATCATCACCAACTATAAGGAACTCAAGGCCCTCCTCGAATCCAAGGGTTTCCGCTTCGAGACTGAGACAGATACTGAGTGCATAGCCAAGTTTGCCAAATACCTCTACGACCTCCATCCAGATATCGATTTCACCGTTCTCGCAAAGGCCGTCGTCAAGGAGCTGCAAGGTGCTTTTGGTTTGCTGCTGAAATCAGTGCATTACCCCCACGAGGTTATTGCCGCCCGTAAGGGTTCTCCTCTGGTTATTGGTGTCCGCACCTCCAAGAAGATGAAGGTTGACTTTGTCGATGTCGAATATTCCGAGGACAGTGCGCTCCCTGCCGAGCAAGCTTCTCAAAATGTCGCCCTTAAAAAATCAGCGACTACCCTGCTGGCTCCTCCAGATAAATCCCTCCTACACCGTTCGCAATCCCGTGCCTTCTTGTCTGACGATGGAATCCCCCAGCCTGCTGAATTTTTCCTTTCCTCTGACCCATCCGCCATCGTCGAGCATACCAAGAAGGTGCTCTACCTCGAAGATGACGACATTGCCCACATCCACGAGGGCCAATTGAACATCCACCGCCTCACCAGGAATGACAGCACCTCCAACGTCCGTGCCATTCAGACCATTGAGCTCGAACTCCAGGAGATCATGAAGGGAAACTTCGACCACTTCATGCAAAAGGAAATCTTCGAACAGCCCGAATCAATCGTCAACACCATGCGCGGCCGTCTAGACGTTGCTAACAAGAAAGTCACATTGGGTGGGCTAAGACAGTACATCACTACCATCCGCCGTTGCCGACGCATCATTTTCATCGCATGCGGCACCAGCTACCACTCCTGCATGGCCGTCCGCGGCGTCTTCGAGGAGCTCACCGAAATTCCCATCGCCGTCGAGCTGGCCTCCGACTTCCTTGACAGACAGGCTCCTGTCTTCCGTGATGATACCTGCGTCTTCGTTTCCCAGTCCGGCGAAACAGCTGATTCCCTCATGGCGCTCCGATACTGCCTCGAGCGAGGCGCGCTGACGGTCGGTATCGTCAACGTTGTCGGCTCGTCCATTTCCCTCCTCACACACTGCGGCGTGCACATCAACGCTGGCCCCGAAATTGGTGTCGCGTCCACAAAGGCCTATACCTCGCAGTTTGTCGCAATGGTAATGTTTGCACTATCTCTGAGTGAAGACCGGGCTTCCAAACAGAAACGGCGCGAGGATATCATCGACGGCCTGTCTAAACTCTCCGATCAGTTCCGAGAGATTCTGAAACTGAGCGAGCCTATCAAGGAAATGTGTGCCAAGCTCTTCAAGAATCAGAAGAGTTTATTGCTGCTGGGTAGAGGAAGCCAATACTCCACCGCCTTGGAGGGTGCGTCTAGCCCTTTACTCCCGCCCCGTGATAATAGTCTAATGCTAACATATATACAGGCGCCCTCAAAATCAAAGAAATCTCTTACCTCCACTGCGAGGCCGTCATGTCGGGCGAACTCAAACACGGCGTCCTTGCTCTTGTCGACGAAAACCTACCTATCATCATGATTCTGACCCGCGACGGGATCTTCAAGAAATCCCTAAATGCATACCAGCAGAGTACGTATAGCCTCTCTTCCAAAGTAATTGAATAGAAAAGAATAAACAACTAAAAAACTGTAGTCATCGCCCGCCGTGGCCGCCCCATCGTCATCTGCAACGCAGGCGACGAAGAATTCCCTGCCTCGGAAACCGAACGCATCGAAGTACCATCAAACGTGGATTGTCTGCAGGGTCTACTGAACGTCATCCCCCTGCAGCTGATCGCGTATTGGTTGGCTGTTGCGGAAGGGTTGAACGTGGATTTCCCACGCAATCTGGCCAAGTCCGTTACTGTTGAGTAGATGAATTGTTAGAAAATTCACTTGTATGCGAGTGAGTGTTTGTTGATGGGATTGTGGTGATTCTCCAAAGGGGTATATGGAGTACAACTAAATAATCTATCTATCGATCTATCTATCAGCAATGGATGGATAGATGGGGAGGAACTGGGGTCTGGAGCCTTGGAGTGAGTGGGGTTTTTCCTGATTTGATTGCTTCTTGTGTTTTTTTTTTTTTTTCCTGTTTTATTTCACCGAGATGCTTTGCGTGCGTGTAATGGTTTGATGTAATTAATTGCCGGCTATATTTTTACTTTTTTAAACCCCGAAAAGCCCCTAGGTACAGTTTAGTTATCTGGCTTCCTTGTGCCGTGCTTAATATATTCCCTTCTCTTGTCCCCCGTTCAGTATTTACCTTTCGTGTGGATGAGGAATATATATATTACAATACACCATCAGCTCCACTATGTATGCCTTCTTGCGGTGTTAAGTGTTTTCACTATAATATGCGGATATGGGAGATGCCAATTGACTACATATTACATGTCATGTCATTAATATATACATAATAATATCCGGTATTTATTTATCGCCTATCTCAAGTTGTAACATTCGGGCGCTTAGTAACCCCGCCTCTCCGCCCCTGCTCCGCAACTATCAAAATCCCAGCTAACCCAACGCTCAGCCATACTCACATTCCTCTATATCATCAGCCTATATCCAATTCCAATTCCAATTATAATTCCAATTCTAAAAAATGTCCACCGCCCTCAAAGGTCCCGGCACCGCCGAAGTACACGACGGTAAATCCACCACCACCCCACCCCACCCCACCACACATCGATATGATTAGAACCCCCATCTCCCTCCCTCCCCCGGGCCCTGATCACCTCCCCTTCTACACCCAACATACCGCTGATACTAACGTAAACAAATCAAATATAGGCTCAAACCTCCGCATCGCCATTGTCCACGCCCGGTGGAACGACAGGATCATCCATTCGCTGGTAGATGGAGCGAAGAAGGCGTTGTTGGCGGCGGGGGTTGCGGAGGGGAATATCGTGACGCAGAGTGTGCCGGGGAGCTGGGAGTTGCCGGTTGCTGTTGAAACGTGTGTTTTCCCCCCTGTTTCCCATTTTTTCCATTATTTTATTATATTATCTTATGTTATGTTATGCTATATGTTGGGTGATTTGATTGTCAAGCATGCTTGGATCATATTGATATCATTTTGAATAATGGATGGGTTTCACATTGGATATATATATATATATATATATACCCAACGAATCCCCATCTCGCTTGCGTATTCCAATTCCCATATATTACAACTACTGATATCCGATATAACGAAAACAGTATCTACACCGGCTCCGTCCTCCAAGCCACCAAGGCCGCAACGCCCTGTCGAATCCCCGGCACCGCAACCGCCGACACCCTCTCCGCCACCGCACCCCCGCCAACCCGCACATCCATCGACACCCCCACCTCGTCCTCCCCCGTCCAAACACCCGCATCGACATCAGCATCCTCACAAGCCCCCTTCGACGCCCTGATCGCCATCGGCGTCCTGATAAAAGGCGAAACAATGCACTTCGAATACATCGCCGATGCCGTCTCGAACGGCCTCATGCGCCTGCAGATAGAGAAGAGCGTGCCGGTTATCTTTGGGCTGTTGACGGTGCTTACGGAGGAGCAAGGGCTGGTCAGGGCTGGGTTGGCCGATGGGAAGGGGAGTGCGGCGCATAATCATGGGGAGGATTGGGGGCGGGCGGCGGTTGAGCTTGGGGTGAAGAGGAGGGGGTGGGCGGAGGGGAGGTTTTTGTAGGGAATTGAAAAGGGAACGGACGGAGGGTTGGTTTGTACGTTAAAATTTATCTGGAATTGTTTTTGTATCAATTTGTTTTGTCATATGAGGGAAAAGACAATCGAAAGATTTATTTTTTTATTTTATTTTTTTATTTTTTTATATCTAGAGGATCTTATAAGAAAGTAGAGCGCAGCGCACAACCATGAAAAAAGAGCTCAACTTTGCAGACAAAATATTTCTTGGATTAACACGACATTAAAGAGAACCAAACCCAAAATCCACTACTCCTCCATCTTATCGCCCTCACCCTCCCCTTGCTTCTCCTCTTCCTCGTCCTCATCCTCTCCCTCCATAGCCTTCTTAGCATCCCGAATAGCCTCTTCAAGCAACTCCTTCGGCACCTCCTCATGGCGGCCCTTCGTTGGCCCATCCGCAGCACTAATCCACGTCATCTCCAGCTCAAAGTCTTTATCCTTGCTATCCTCATGCGCAACATATATGATACGGGCGGCCTCCTTGACACCTTCTAGTAGTGTGAAGTTACCTGAGGCCAGGTCAAGTTTCTCTAGCTCAGCTTTGGCAGCTTGGCGCCCCTTGCCTGTTGCGGCGCCGTAGTAGCCCTGGTTTTTGTTCACGTCTGCTGTCAGAAATGATTCTCTATAAACGGAATGGAGAAGGAGGGTTGATTAAGCAACAAAGTAAGAGGGCTATGAAAGCTACACACCCAGTAAAGCCCACTCGGCTCAATCATATACAACCCTGGCCCACCAGCCTTGGAATTCGCAACCTTCCCACCAGCGCCAGACTTGGGGCCGGATCCCACCTGTCCGTCCACGGGGAGCTCCAGCTCCGAATCCCAGCCACCAATGATAGAGGTGACACCAAACGGCCGCACGCTGGAGTATAAGGTATATGCTTGTGCATAACCGCCTAATCTGCTAGCGAGGACATGTGTGGCAATGGGGCCTTTGTATGTAAATCTCCAATCGTCGGCTTCGTCTCTGGCTCTGGATACGAAATGCCGGCCGTCGGGAAGGAGGCCTGAGGATACCTATATTCCCACACAGAATGCGTTAGCCACTAGCGGTGAGGTATATCCGGGGCCACAGAGTAGAAAAAAAAAAAAAGTGTATAACGAGGAAGAGGACTGACAATTCCAATATGTCTATCGACGGTAAATATGCGCTTATTAGCGCCGGGTTTGAGGAGTTTGGACGTTATGATCTTCTCAACGGCCAGAACAACGCCATCTTTGCATCTAATTCCTATGGATGTGCCGCCGTTCTCTACTGCTTTCACTGCGTATTCGACCTGTTATGATGTTTGCAATTCAAGCATTTTCCACCCCGTCAGAATAGCTGCTTTGTTTGCGTTATTGCGTGATGGAGGGTTCATTGGCGGACGAAAGAGGGCGAGGTACCTGGAAATTCCTGCCATCGGGAGAGAAGATAGAGTTCGAAAGATCGTAGCCGGTGCCTATGGACGTCTGGTGAGGTGGGGCGAATTAGTTGCTGGTTTCTTGAAGCTCGTGTATTAGGTAGGGTGGAAGGTGTTGGGAAAGCATACCATATCTGGAGCTGTGGTCTGCGACTAATGATGGGAGGAGAGGGATTCGGGAGGTGTAGTGGGATAGGAAGAACAGTTGTGAGGGAGATAACAGGGTGGGATGCAGCAGTAAGAGAAGGAATGTCTCAAGAGCCCAGGTCTAAGCAATGATATCGGCTTCAAGGTCTTGTATCTTGTATATCTGCGCTATCTCGCTCGGAGCTGGAGGTTGAGCTCACGCGTCACGGGATTGCTGCCTCTGGGTCATGTGATGTGGCTGATTAAGCACGGTATTTCGATCCAGATCTAATTGTAGGCTACTGGGGCAAAAGAGCTCAATCACCACCAGCGCCTGCTGGTAGAAGGGCCGACCAACCGCGGGACCCCCAACACCCCCCCTCGGACCAGCTACCACAGAGTACAGTACTTCCCCTCAGTGGCTCCCTTCAGTGGCCTCCCCACAATGGCTCCTTTAATAATGGACTCAGTCAGTCCTAGGGCTCACAGGACTTCTAGGACACACTCCTGGGATGTCTCTTGGCACTGTTAAAATGTCCAAGGGTATTTGTTAGGAATTTTTAAGTCCATTCTGGGATCAAACCCATGCATGTTGACCACAGCGGGGCTCACGCTCAACAGTCTCATAACCTGTAGGCTACTGGGACAAAAGAGCTCAATCACCACCAGCGCCTGCTGGTAGAAGGGCCGACCAACCGCGGGACCCTCAACACTAATATCAGATCTTATCTCAGCGGGCTCAGACCTCTGGCTCGGTTTGTGTTGATGATTACTACACCTACCCTAGTCACGTGCCACCCCAACCTATTCATTTAGTGTAACTCGCGTAGTTAGATTACAATACAATACAACAATGTTATTCTTCAAGAGGTTATGAAGCTCTCTACACAATGAAAAGCTGTAAAATAACATGCAATTGACATCTTCACATGTTGTTACAAGCATGTCTAGATAATTTATTAAGTAATTGAACTCATGATTAATCTAAGATCTGAGAGAACACCTGACTTAATAAAAGAATACATGTCTTTAAGACAGAGAAATGAGAAGATATCAGAACAGCAGATGCAAGATCACAGATCATTATTAATATTAATAATGAACTGAAAAGTAACTATCTCTGAGATGTTTAAGTCAGATGAAATCATTACAGAGAAACAGTTTAATAAGTTTAATATATATAAAGATCTGATTGAAGATATTATCAGTGAGATATCAGATAATACAGAGAGCTTAAGTGACTGAAATAATAATAACTCTGTAAGTGAGAAGACTTATATAAGACTAGAAATTACAAGACTTCAGTATGAAGTTAAATGAATAAAGATAGATAGAGATAAAAATAAAGAGCTTAGTACAGATTTAATAAACTATCTTTAATAAAAGAGTAGAATATCTATATTAATAAAGATTCTTAATGAATTCAGAGATTAAGTAAGACTTATAAAGAAGTCTGTTATACTCACTGACTCTGTAAATTATTCTATATAAAAAGAAGAGATTCTGCTCACAGTAAGATAATCTGAAATAGATAATATTTTTAATAATAAGCAGATCAATTCTGATAAGAATATCAGTATAAATATGTAACATTTTTAATCAGAATAAAATATCTGATTATATAACTATATATAATCTGTAATTATCTCATAGATCAAATCTTACTTTATTATACTTAAGAAGTTTTAACTATCTACTTATTCTCTATAATCTATCATAGAGAATAATTTCACTGAGAGATCTACTGTCTGCAGAACTTGTCTATTTTAAGAATTAATTAAAATAATATCAAAATCAAAGAGTTCTGATTATATATTTATCAAATATTTAATCACAATCAGAACTGATTATATTTAATTAAGATATAATATTAAAGATTTCATGTTTTTTAACAGACTTCTTACAGAGATTAGTAAAGATTGATTGTCTTTTATAAAGAATTAAATGAATATAATAGAGAAGAATGAGAATGCTAGAATACTTAAAAATGATTTCATGAAATTATGTTAAGATATTCTTCTATAATTATTAGCTACTGATAAATCTCTTATCTCTGATGAAAAGATCTCTGCAAATAATACTCAAGATTTCAATAGAAAGAATAAAAAGAATAAGAAGAAAGAGAAGATCTCTGAGAATAAGAATAAAGATTTCATCAAACTGAATAGAAAGAGTAATAATACTATTAAAATATATTATTATTGTCAGAAGATTGATCACATTTAAACAGATTACTGATTGAAATTTTCTGAAAAACACTCTACTAGTCATAGTAAGAATAAGAATAAGAATGAAACAGACTTAAGATCAGTTTATAATATTATTAAGTAAGTATTTTATATAACAGAAACAGTCTATTCTACTGATTAAACTAGTAAAGATATCTGAATTCTGAACTCTGAATTCAGTGCTCATGCTACATCTTATAAGAATCTCATATTAATAGTACTGCAGAAGATTAATATTATATTGAAGATAACTAATGAATTGACAGCTTCTGCAACAGCTATAGAGAAGATAAATATATCAGTTAAAGAAACAAATCTGCTGCTGCAGAATATTCACTATGTTTTCAAGCTGAAGATGAATCTTATAAGTTTTGAGAAGCTTATATATTAGAGCTATACATATAAGTAACTGATCTATGAGAATACTCATTCAATCTTACTAATCTCTTCTGACAAGATATTGAGTTTTACTGCTAAATTAAGTGATAAGAATATCTACATTCTGAAAAAACAATCAATGACTAGAGACTTAATTTGATTCATAATATTAAATAATGAATTTGAATCTATAAAAATTCTACAGTCTGCAGAGAAAAAAGATCCTCTGCTAGCATTATTTAATAAGAATATCAAGATTATTAAATACACAATATTATAATAATATTAAAAGCTTGATTATCTTAATTCTATAGATATCACTAAATTAGCAGTAGATTTATAACTGAGAATAAGAATTAAGAGTAACAGAGCTTTGTCATTCTGTAAGACCTGTGTACAGGTAAAAATGACACATTCAATATTCATATCAATGATAAGAACTGTTAAATCTGTGATAAGATTCTTCATGAATTTTATAGATGATGACTGTATACTATATAATGAAATCAATCTTTCTACACATGAGAAAGCTAATTATTAAATAAGTATTACAGATGATGCTACACACTACAGATGAATTATTCTTATAATATCAAAGAGTGAGATCACTGTGTGTTTGATAATCTTTATTAACAGAATTGAGATCACTACTTAATATCAAATTGAGACTTTACACTGAGATGATAGAGATGAATTTAAAAGTGATGAATTAAAGATCTACTGTCAGTGAAAAGAGATCATATATAAGATCACTACATCTGATACATCATAGTTCAATGACTCTGCAGAATATGTCAATTATATTATAGATGAAAAGACAAGAAGCTTACTATTTAACAGCAGACTTATAAGAGAACTTTGAGATGAAGCTATTCAAGCTGTGATTATAATGATTAACATGTTCTCAATATCAATGAAGATTTACAGATATCAGAGAGAAACTTCATTATTCTCTTTTAAAGCTTAAACAGATGTTCAACCTTCTGCTCATTGAATACACAGATGAGAATGTAAGATGTATAAAAAGAATCTGAAGATTATTAATAATGTAAGAAATCCCGCTCCTCGCGGATTCTTTACCTCTATTTCTATCTCTTGTGTAACTAATAGGGCTAGCGGCTCTTAACTACACACAACTATATAGACTGGAGTTCATGAATACTATTTATAACTCAGCTTGAATGCTATTATATATTTAACTTCTACATTTATCTTTCTACTGTGAACACTTCTAGTAGTTAACAGTACATATCACATCAAGCTGCAAACACCTGAATAATCACCTGTAAGCACTTATTCTTACATTTCAAGCTCAGTCAGTCAGCAATCACCTGTTATAACTGAAAGAACTAGAAACTTATATACTTCAATCTCTGTGAACTCTACTGCAGACACTCAGAAGCAGTCATCTGAATCATGAATAATTTCTGTAAAAGAAGTCTCAGAGAACTTATCAATCACTTATAAGATATCATTCTCTGCATCTGTGATAAAGAAACTCTTCAAACTCATAAACAAATTAATCTCAGTAAAGAACATTCTTGAGCATCTCTTACAAGACTAAGCTATTTTTCTATAAGAAATGCTTACTATCTGCAAACACTCTTGAACTGAGTCTCTAGACATAATCTTCAGAGACATCTGTGAACTGAAAAGAAACTTTCTCAAGCTGTGATTACTTAAGATCATCTATCAAATCACAATCTATAAAAGCTTTTATAAGTTTGTATTTAAAATTGACTCACAAGCCCGGCTGTGTGATATGAAAGATGAAGAAGCTGTCATCTATGCAATGACAGATCTCTATTACACTGAAGTCAAGAACTGGCTGAATTATCTAGAGAATAATTATAAGAGATTCTGATAATCTGTTCTTAAGATCTATCTAGAGAATAAGTTGAGAGACTCTATAAGCTGAACAGAGAACATCTGAACTGTAATTATTAATATTAGAAAAAGAGGTGAGAAATCTGATGAAGACTACTCACAGCACTTCATAAAATTATGATGTGAATTGAAATCTGTGAAAACAGGGCTCTGAAATAAGATCTGAATGATAATATTTGTGAAGAGACTGAATAAAGATATGTAGAATAAGCTCATTGAGTAAGACTCTAAGTTCTTAGCTTTGAAGAAACTGATGACTCTCATTTATCACTTACAGATCACTGTGAGAGTCACAGACCTGTGAAGAGTGAATCATTGACTGGCTCTGCAAGGGCCAGAACAACAGAGAACAGATTTGTCAGAAAAAGATGATAAGATATAGAGAGATTTGTATCTGACTGCTGAGTAGAGAGAAAGAGCTTCACAAGCTTCTGTGAATAGAGTGCATAACAGAGAGATTAAGAAAAAAGAACTCTGCTTTATCTGTTCTAAATCAGAACATCTCCGCGCAAACTGTCTGAATAAATTAAAATAGAAATTTGAGAAGTTGCAGACAGAGTCAGTAACAGCCTTCTTAAGAGTCTTAAAGCTGACATCTGAATCTGTTGCTCTCTCAATGAAAATACTTACTCATGAGAAGAGATCACACTGCAGTGCTGCTGTCTCACAAGTATAAGAAGTATTAATGAACTCAGAATCTCAGATCACTGTAATGTCTCTAAAGCTTACAGAGTGAATAAGTTGAAAGATGAAGACTGAGAACCTGCTCT